AAAATGATTAAAAATGGTTAAATTGGTTGAGTTTGAGTCTTCTACATAGAAAAGTTTATGCAAGTATGTTATTTTGTACAACCTTTGTATCCCAATATAACCCAATTATAATTATAAAAACTTTATAAACTGCATTTTATTTATACCGTTTTTGGTACGTATTACTTTTGTGTATCATATATTTTTTATTATACAAACAAAGAAATGTAAAATATGCAAAAGAAATTTGAATTTGTGTATGTGTTACTCGTTTTGTGTAACAATATAATAATAGTTCAATATCAGTATTTTAAATTTAATTTTTATTGTTACCGTTTATTATTTGTCGTCGGTTGTAATCTTTTTACAAAAAATCAAAGTTCAACAAATCAATCATACACATAATGTGAATAATATTTATTCATTATTGCATTATATCGATATGTTTATAATGCAATAATAATAATAACGACAATGATAATAAATAATATAACAGATAATAGCAAAATAATAAGTAATTAATGGTGGTAATAATAATCGAAAAAACATTGAAAAAAAAATTATTAACGCGCAATTAAATGTTTAAAATTTTATTTTTTAGAATCAATTAATCAAAATGATCTTTAATTAATGAAATAAATGTATGGAAATAATGGATTAATTAAACCAATCAATAGAACCATTAAACTAATCGGATTGGTTGTGCAAGATGCAAAAAATGCAAGGAATGAATTTTAATTTTAATTTGGTGCACACGAATTTTTTAGGTAAGAGAAAATAAATAAGGTTATGAATGAATGAATAGAGAGAGAGAGAGAGAGAGAGAGAGAGAGTTAGTTAAATATTATTATAAACAATCATCTTTAAGGGAAGGAGTAACTTCAAGTTTGAAATATAAAAATTTGCAAATAATAATCTCTCTCCACAACAATCTCAAATTTCTAATCTCCAATCTTCATTTCATAATCAATCATCTGACATATGGTTTTACCCAAAAACGAAAATTTTAAAGATGAGATCATATGCTTCTTATAAAAGAAACTTTAATCCATCCCTAAATTAGAATAAATATATGCACACACATACCATATACAACATTATCATACATACCATCCATACATGACAGTACTTCATTATTTTAGACATTTTTTGTTCTTTCTTCCCTTCCTTCCCTCCTCTCATACTCGTTCTTCTTTACGCATCA